TAATAATTTTAAAAGAAATTATAGATAAAAATTGTTCTAAGGTATTAAAGCTGAAGTGGTTCCATAAAATTGCTTAATTATGTTAAGTAACAAATTATTCAAGGGACAAAATAAGGTGGCTATGAGAAAATAAAAGCTGGACATTTTTTGAGACCGTTTTTTTAATGCGAAAGTAACTTTATAGAACATATATTTTTATCACAAAATTTGCTGAAATAATGTATTTCTTAAAATAATACTTATATACTAAAAATAATGAACAAAGAAAAAAATACTGACCTATCTAGTGAGCCAGAGAGTAACCTCTGTCCAGAGCTGCTCAAACACAAACATGTCACAGTTTTGTGATGATTTTTCAGAGACACTAATAATTGTCCTCCTTTCAATATATCCCAGACTTTAACATAACGACCTCCTGTAACAAGAAGTAATAATTAGGTGATATTTTGTCAAACAACTCAAATTTTTAATACTATCTGAATAGTATTCTCCACTAGCGGCTTCAGAGATTGGAGCCCCATTACTGGGAGCTTCCTCACGTGAAGATTTAGAGCCTTGGAGACCCAAAGGTTGGTCACTAGGAGTCTGAACCAATGTGATGGCAGTGAGTGAGTTAATGACTAATAATTTCTCATTTGTTAAGTATACAAAAATGTCACCAAAATAAAAGTTATGTGTAAAAATATTTTAAGATATTTACAGCAAAATTACTGTTTAAAAGGAATGTTGTATAGAGACGAAAATTAATAGATTTTACTCTCCAAAATTCACAGGATTGTCAGAGGCCTGTTATTTAAGAAGTAGGTCCAAGAGAGTGTGGAAAACTATCCAACAATATCTTTAATATCACATTCAAGCAAAATGCAGAATATCATTCAAAAACAGCTAGAATAGTATACAGAAATAGGCAAATAATCCAATAGAAAAATGGGCACAGGATATGAACAGGCATTTCACCGAAGACGACATTCAGATGGCTAACAAACACATGAAGAAATGC